ACCTAAGTTTGTTTGTAGCTTTACTGTCCCGTATTCGTTTGGGTCTGTACTTTGCAAATAGAACAACATTTTATTCTCATTAAAATATGACTATTGCTGCATATGCGTATGAAACAAATGAAGCAAGAAGAGCACATGAACTAGTAAACGAAAACTCAACTTTAACCATTGAAGGCAATGATTTAGTCATTGACGATAAAAACTAAAAAGTCATTGATTTCGATACTTTTAACACTTATGACCCATTCATTACAATAAGTAAAGTTCCTATCATAAATGATGGAACGGTGCAATATATAAATTCTACAGTAGATGCCTCATTAGTGAAAGTATTAAATGTTCTCATTGAATTGTTAAAGAGCTTTCGATTTGACGACAACATTAAATGCCTTAAAGAATTTAGTCATGAATGAGAAACAAATTCTTGGCGTTGCTGGTAGCAGTAATGATGTACACCTTATGACATTAGAATATTATAACGAACATAAAGATGAACTGAAAGGAGAGAAGGGTGACACCGGACCACAAGGACCACAAGGAATACAAGGAATACAAGGAATACAAGGACCTCAAGGCGAGAACGGTTTGGATGGAAAGGATGGAAAGGATGGAAAAACTGCTAAATCATGGATATGGGACCTTATAAATACTGGTTTAACAGCTGCTTCATATGGAGTTCTTCAATACCAAATCGGAAAGATATGGGCAGTACTTGGTGAAGAAGTTTTAATGACGTTTAAAAATGCTTTGAACTTCATTTCAAATGGTTCGGATACTATTAAAATTTATCTGGTTGGATGCAAGAAACAAGGAGTCAAATAGATACTGTAAGACGTATAGCAAACAATGCACGTACGGGATTGGATACTTTACGAAAGCACAAAATACACTAAAGGAAGCAAATGATATTCTTGGCTCAGTATCAGACATGCATGAAGATTGGCTTAAAGGTATTGACAAATCTTTAAAAAATCACAGTCAGTCTATTGCTGACTACAAGAAAAGTATAGATTTTTTACATAGTGCTATGGACGTACATGATGGAAGCATAAGGAACTTACTTAATGCTAACAATAACTTACCAGGAACTATTAAAGCATTTATAAAGTCCTTTGTAAAACCCGGTGCTCTAACATTTAGGTCTTTGAGAGCAAGAGCATTGAAGTCAAGAGATGCAGAAACTCCAACAGAACCTACAGAAGGAACTGAAACAACAGAAACTCCAAAAGAACCACCAAAACCAACAGCTAATGAAATATTGTTCGATATATTTTCCAAGGTACTCTGTTCTCATTGCATACATTCAAGAAATACTTAAGAAAGCAGACTTGACTTTAGGAGATGATGAAAGTTCTGTATATCTTTCGTTCCAGTTTCAAATAGCAGAACTTTTGAGACAGATATGCTTAATGTATGACAACATCTCTGATTTCACAAGATATGATGACGACCATGACCCCAACACGGTGAAGAAGAAGTTTTACAAACATCCATTAAGACAGGAAAGGTTTTAACACAAAGTCTCATTATTGACACCAAAGATGGCGAAGTGGACGTTCTTCAAGAGCTGAAGAAAAATACTTCTTCGGGAGGTGGTGGTAGGCATGAACTTGAAATAAATGAGATAGAAGAGAAATTAGCCGAAAAAGCAGATAAAGAACATAAACACAATATCTCCGATATAAATGAACTTCAAGCTACATTAAATAGTAAAGCGGACAAAAATGAACTTGACGCAATGAACAAAGTTTTGAAATCTCATAAACACAATATCTCCGATATAAATGAACTTCAAGCTACATTAAATAGTAAAGCGGACAAGAACCATGTTCATTATATAACTTCAGACGAACAGATTATAACGGACTACCATGGATATTTAACACGAAGTGATGAAGCGAAGACAAAAAATGTTAATGAAAGAAGATATAAATACATTCGTGCTAAAGGTTATGACATAAGCTGTACTGTACAGTATGATGTAGCTAAAGCACCAGAAAGCATTTGGTTATAACCGGTGAAATTTATGCCTCTACTTTCAATGTTAACGGTGTATTAGTTGAACCAAGATTTACTTTGAGAGTTAAGGCAAAAATAACGTTTTGAAAGATGCTATTAAAAGTAAAGCTGACAAATGAACTTCGAAGCAATGAACAAAGTTTTGAGATCTCATAAACACAATATCTCCGATATAAATGAACTTCAAACTTCATTAGACAAAAGCGACAAAAACCATACACATAATCCTTCACTACTGTTAGAGCTGATGACATATAATATTGAACTTTGACCTTGGTTCAAGTGCACCTTTAGAGAATCCAAGTACAAGCGTAAAAAGATACTCTTAACAATTTAGATAAGAGTTGCAGGAACATTGAAGGTCATGCCAGAAACTTTGAAGCACATGAACTACCAGCAATGTTAGATAAGAAAGCAGACAAAACTTATGTGGATGCAGAACTAACAAAGAAATTTTCGAAACCAGATACAATGACATTTACAACAGAAAATTATAAATGGTGAACCAGCAACTCCATTTGAATTTGTTAGAGGTCTTCAACCAGATACTTTTGATTTTTTCTTGGATAATTCTATTGAACTAACATTACATTATAAAAGTGGAACAAATGCAACATTTCATCCGGGAGATACATTCCAAATGGTATTTAATGACATAAGTTCTTTAGAATATGTTTATAGAGTTATGAGCATATATGATTTAATATATCCTATAGGAGCTGTTTATACGTCTATGAATCCAATAAATCCAAACACTTTATTTGGTGGTAGATGGTATGAAATAGTTGACAGTTTTCCATTCTACACTAATACGCAGTCAATGAAGATGGGAGGTTCAAAGAAAATAGGTATTGAAAACCTTCCTTCACATATGCATAGGTTCAGTGGAAGAACATCTGTGGAAGGAAACCATTCACATTCAATAACAAAAAGAGGTTATAAATCTTGCAGCGGGTTTTCGGATAGACAGGGAATGACAGATATGATATTTCAGACTGACCCCAAAGATGTTAGCACAGGTATTTTCTGTGGAACTGCAGGAAATCATACACATGTTGTAGCTGGTATTACAGACCCAGCAGGTAATGGAAAAGATTATATGCCTCCTTATATAACAATGCACGCTTGGATACGAGTTGGTTAAAATCTTTAACTTTACATAAATGAGCTTGAAAGAAGTATCGAACAACATCCATGGAGGTCATTTAAGAAGTTCAATGAAGCTGCAAAGAGTTGGGGATTTACTAACAGAGCTGAAGTGAAAAGGTTCTTTGACAAAATGTTGTACATCAAACAAAAATAAACCCTTACGACTACTTTTTACCAATTTACTCCAACACTCCTGACGCATACCAATTTGACACTCTCATTCAAAGCAGAAAAGGAGGACATAAACCATTCCTCATCTTCATTAATGTTAACACTCGTAAAGCATATGCATATCCAATGAAAAATAAAGGAACTCGTGAAGTGTTAAGAGTTTTACAAAAGTTTGTAGCAGAACATACCCAAGTACTTTAACATCAGACCAAGACAGTGATACTCAGCAATGAAATCACAGATTTTCTCATTAAGCATAACATAACTCACTACACTACTGAAGACCATAACCATAACATACTCGGCATCATAAACCGCTTCATAAGAACGCTCAGAGATTTAAATCAAGAGCGAGACTTACCGGACAAGAAACATTTTCTCGAAGTATATAATTCCTCAACACATTCTACACACAGGACATACACCAAATTCAATGACACAACAACAAGAAGAAAAGTATATACAAAAGAAACGAAGCCAAAACAAAATATCAGAAATTCAACACAATTTACCCTCATTCCTGAACAAAAGTTCGTGTAGTTCTTGACGACAAACCGTTGACAAAGAAACGTTTAAGGTTAAGTCGAAATTATTATATCGTAGACTCTACGCAAGGTAATGGATATCTTATAAAAGCTGCCGACGACTCTATTGCGTTTTATCCTCGACATAAATTAGTCGAAAGTAGTAATGGCAAACTTGCTGAAACCATTGACGAAGCAAAGCGAGGAGTGGTTATTGAAATACTTGGCTATAACACAAACGATGACACTTATAAAGTAAGATATGAAGGAGGCGTTGAAGATGTTATACCATCTAAGAACTTGAGAGAGTCGAAGCCAACACATCTGGGTCCATTAGAGCGGGAGTACTGGAAAGACAAAAATATGCCAGAAAGAATAAGAAAATTCTTCTAAACTTTTTCGTTGGATGTAAATCAGACAAAATATATTTTAGGTGAAGAGGTGAGATCTCACCTGTTTTTTCACCTGTTTTTTCACCCCCCGTGAATTTTCAAGAATTTCCTTAAGACAGAAAAAATAAAGTTAGTTTTATTTTTATTTATTTTTTTATTTTGTATAAAAGATATGATTTCAACAATCGGCACAACAACAATTCAAGCCGCGAACGGCGGGACTCTGTCCACAACAACAGCACCAAACTCGTTAGTCATGAATCCTACGTCAATGTTAGTAGAGATGAAAAACTTCATTCCTTCTTCATATACTTTCGAAACAAAAATCCAGAAGATAAAGCAAGAACTTTTAACAAGTAATTTAGACTGTAGTGCGAAAGATGAAGAAAATGAAGAATATCTTTATGAAATGCAGGACATTATTGACCATTTACCCAAATTGCCTGAAATCCAACAGCAAAAACTAACTATTCCTGAATTCGACGAAATTGAAGTTAAAGTTACTGATTCAGTAGAAATAAAGAAGTTCATACGTAAAGTAAATTATGAATTCCTTGGTTTTCATTGCAACCATAAAGTTATGGACAAAGATTGCGACATGGTTTATAAGAACATTTCTGACATATATAAATCTGAGGAGTTTAAGACTTACGATAACTTTGTTTCATTAGTTGCAAAATGTGTTTGGGAAATAAGAGATAAAGATAGAAGAGGCAAAGTATGGAACGAACAAATAAGACCCGCTATGTTTGAGATGAAGAGAGCAATTGACGCCTTAGTTGTTTTAGCTGGTTTTATTTCAATGTATAACGCAAAAATGAACCCGCAATGTTCAAAATGTAAGGCAGCAATTAGGAAATATAACTACTCAGTCAAAGAGATAGAAAGAATGAGAAACGACTATGCAGACTTAAAGAAAGAAGCAGAAAAGCCAGCAGAAGATAAAATGAACATGTTAGAATTTCTGAACAAAAACTATCCAACAGCAGAAGATTTCCTTCTATCTGACGTCAAGAAGAAGTATAAAGAAACCTTCGGTATTGTTAAAACTTTTGACATACTGACAGAAGAAATAGAAGCTACGAAATTGTTTAGGATTTCAAATATACATCGTACAATTCATGTAAAACGCTTGTGAAAAAACTGGGGTGAAAAAACAGGTGAAAAAACAGGTGAAATCTCACCTCTTCACCTAAAATATATTTTTGTTCAAAGCTTCCACGAGAGAAAAGATTCCTCATTCGCTAAGGATTCCAAAAATGAAAAAATCATTGATTTCGGCTGAGAAAAAACAGCAAAACCCTTCTTCCACGGGAACAAAGAAATAAAGAAGAAATAAAGAAGAAATAAAGAAGAAATAAAGTAAATTTTTTATTTATTCCCGTGGAAGATAGAGCATTTTTATGACACTTTTTATTCACGACAAACAAGACAAACAAAGAAAATAAGAAAATACGGCGCCGTCGCGGTTCGAACCACAGACCCTGACCCCTCTATAACACCACCTTAGACCACTGTGCTACGTAGCCTGTCGACATAAGATTTTATAAATTGCATATTTGACGTAAATTTATTTCCATCTAGCTTCCCACCGCATAAGATATTCATACGTGTTTGTAAGACATTCATTAAACTTCTTTTCTATTGCATCTAATCTTGTGTTATTTTTTTCAATAACTTGTCTGTATTCTTCATCATCTCCAGCAGTGTTTGGGTCTTCACGTTTAAAATATTCATTGTTAACCAATTTTTTATCTACAAATTTTATTAGTGTTTGATTCACTTCGTTATGATAACGGTCATATTCTTTCAATACGTAAGTGAAGACAAAATGCGTCGTACCTTCAATCTTAAAGCTTAAAGAACTTTCAACACAGTTTTGAGGGTCTGTCAGTGCGTCAATGAGATAGTATTCGAAGTCAGTCAATAATCTTTTTAAAGTCATTTCATACAGGATAAAATTTAATGTTGTGAAGAAATAGTGTTTATCTCAGAAAAAATAACGCTAATTTTATTTTTATTTATTTTTTTATTTTGTATGTAAAGACAGTAATGACAACATCAGAGAACACAACAACAGTTATAGTCCATGAAGCCATAAATGAAGAATACGAGTACATACAATATAACAAACAGTTACGTCTCATTCGTTCAGTCAAAGATGACATGTACCAAATGCAAAGTATTTTGACAGCATGTTATGCTCCAGATACTAAACTTCCTAAAGACTGGTTTAGGAACCAAAGCACTATTGAACTATTAAATGAAGCACAGCGAGACATACTTTTTTCTGAAAACAGTGAAGAACAGCGAGTAGGTAAAAAACCCCAGTCGCCAAAACTCTATGAAAATCGTGAAAAATTGCCAAACGGTTTGAGAGGATATTATGTTCATAGACTTCTCGTAAATGCTGTAGCAATGTGGGCTTCACCTCGTTATGCTTGGTATGTTTGTAAACTTCTTGACGAAATTCACAGACAAACGCGAACAGATGGAAAAGAAACTTCAAGCAAAAGATGAAGTCATTGAATCCAAAGACAAAAGCATACAGAAAAGAATACCGCGTTCAGTACCAAAAGGAAAGGAAAAGAACTATATAGTATATGATTTACTGAAGAGATGGAAAATGAAGAAGATAAAGATATGGTTATGTTGCATTTAGTCAGAAGAAACAACAAAAGCTTTTACGACCTCGCTAAGATATATAAATCTGACAGAAACTGGTTCTATCGTGAAAACTTACCGATTTCAATGACACCGAATGAGCAAATAAAGGAAATTGTCAAAAATACTCTTCCTCAAACACACTATGACATCAAAGGTTGCACAATACTTACATTCAAAGAAGACTTACCATTGTTAAAGGAAAAAATAACAGAGTATTTCGATAACTTCAAAGAGGAAGAATGAAAATCTAAGCTAATTTTATTTTTTTTATAAAATTTTATCTCATATGAAAGAACATGAATTTAGAATATTCGGAACTCATGACAGAAGAAGAGAACGAACAGCATGTAAAAGATTATGCAAAATTTCTGAAGACATACAAAGCATTTAAACAATATCTAAATGCTTCTAAAGATTATGCAAAATTTCTGAAGACATAACAGCTTATGAAAAAGCGTATGAAAAGTTTATACATTGGGGAATTGTTGTAAAATATCCATATGAAGACTAACCAAAAATATATTTTTGCTTAAATAGCTTCAGGGTCAATTTCTTCAACCATTTCACTTCCTTCGTCAATGTCAATAGAAGCTTCTTCAACCTTTGGTAAGAATTTCTGTATAACATCTTTGTTCGTTATTGTCTTCAGAGATGAAGGATAATATTTCACATTTGTTTCACCCTTCTTATATTCTTTCTGTTCGGAAAGATTTAGCAATACTGAAGAAGTCAATGTTAGAGTTCTTTATGACAGTATAATGAGTATCTTTGACATTCACGAAGAAACTCTTTTGTTTCAAAACTACTGCTAACTCTTGTGAAGTATAACGTTTGCGGTCAATGACAATCAAGTAATGGTCGACATACTGACAAAGACTAGATTCTTTCACAAACTTCTGTTAAAGAAGATTTAACGTTGAAGAACCATTGACTCATTCTTGATGGCATTAGGAGAGCAATTGTATGAAAAGAATTGCAATCTTGCTGCTCGTCTCATTATTAAAAATAAATATTATTATATGAAAAATAAATTAAAAAAATTAATTAAATTTTTTTTCATAAAATATTTTTTTTTATTCTACTAAGATGTATCGGAAGTTGTCTAAGTTAAGTAACTATCCGGAATAGAACAATTCTTTAAGAATAGCTAATACATAGGATGTTGCAAAGCATTACGCAACAAACAAAAAAGCACTCGGCTTGACTTCATTAAAGACTTAATGGTAGCAATAAGTTATGAATAGAATTCATGAGTTATAAAACACAAACCGGGCGAGACGAAGTCATGCAATATGCATTCTTTAAATGACCGTTGCTGATTGACTTATATAGACGTCGGTACTCTCATGAAGTAGAAGAGAAATGTTTGATCATAAATGCCAAGTTGGTCATCTCGTAAAGCTTTCATATGTTCCGTCAAAAATGTTTGACATAAAAGCAAACGTTGGTGACAAAAGAGAAAGAGAACAGCTGAAACAGACAGAGAAGAGAGATGTTTAAAAAGTGCTATATCGAAAAGGTTCGTAAAGCTAACGATGTCATTCGTTTCATGCACGACAAACAAAAGACAGGTGAGAAAGATGGTAAAAAAGATTGAAGAGAATAGGAAGAGAAATGTGAAGTCAGCAATAGATATTGAATTTAACATCGAAGCTTTAGATGAACAACAGAACTAGCTTACACAACATTTCGGTAAGCTTTTCATGAGATCTTAGAGAAGATTAAAATAATAACTCAACAACAGAGATGGTGGTAGTTATAACTTGGTGGAAAGTAGAATGTTCTACGTTAAAAACGTCATAATATTGGATAACTATACATCAGCTCTTGAAGGAGAATTTAATCAGAGCATAGAAGCAAATGCTGGCCAGTATTTTGAAATGCACTAGACTTCTTCTTGAAAACATAAAGAAGGTTTACGAAATAAAGATGTAATGATTTAACAGAATATGAGGGTTAACGATGATCAGATGTAAAGAAAGGCAAACCAAAAATGAGACCATATATGAATGAAAGCACACTGAAAATGACCAGAAAGCCCATTTTGGAAGCCCTCTAGCAAACGGAACAAGCACTTATAGAAAGCTTTTGGAAGGATAATGGTGAAAAGATAGTTTATTAAGAAGGAGAAGCGGTCAGTTCTGGCGAAGTTCTTGCAATTACTTATAAATCTTGGAACGGCTCAAATCTTCAATGACTGAGACAAAAAGAACTGCAACACTTATGACAGAGGACAATGTTTCGTTTATGCTTGCATTCAGGCTGGAGTAGATGGATGAGACTATTGGGGACCCGACCATGAGAGAAGTCATGTCGTGTAGAGACTTTCCTAAAACGCTACAGCTACACAGAAATTCTCTCGACGCACAAGGTATAAGCATTAGATGTCATTGGTTATTTTCGACAACGCAAGACATACTGAAATCAAAGAGATACATACCAAAGAATTGTAAACTGTTGAACTATAGTTGAATTCTTCTTGTTGAGAGCATTACTGTGCCTAAACGAAAGATTCATTGACAACATAACTTCGTCAGTAAATTAAAAGAAATCTCTATGAAGGAGTGTGGTGGAATGAACATTGAGAAACAGATGAAAAATATATTACAAAGAGAGAGACACACATACTGCTCACGTTCTTATGGAATAGATACACGCTATGGGATGGTTATGAACACATTGTGGAGTGCAATATTCTCGAACCTATTTCTTATGGAGAACCCTCACAATATACGATGACTTTATATAAACAGAACCTTGCACATTAAAGATTTGACATATGCCCAAAGTATCTCGTGTACACCTCGAAGAAGAAGAGAGTCAAAAGAAGTAAATAAATAATAAGTGCAGATCATTCTGAGCACGTTTTTTTGCTTGACTTTGAGTTAGTAAGGATGGCTTTCCATAAAGTTTTAACATATGTTACGAAATGAAGATGGTTCAGTGAGTGAGAGCATTTTGGGGTCAGAACTGTCAACAGATTTTTGGAACGACTTCCTGACAGAGTTTAATATATTGCCATAACTCAGTTTTGATATAAACTTCATCTTAAGACACATGACAGAAGTGAAAAGGAACTCCTCATCCATTAAAGTTCGAACAATACAAGTAACTGGCTATATAAAGGAAGGGAATTTATTATAAAGATCTTACAAGTGTTATAAATAAGAAGCTTAACTTTTCCGTGCTATGTTTAACTTACAAAGCAGGACGGGAGAAGTATTTTCCATAAACTACTACAGCAGTTGTTTGTTAGCAAATGCAAGAACTGGTGGTAATTTCGAGCATGTAAAGTTATAGGGATGACTCGTCTACATACCCCGAAGAACATCGACCATCAAGTCTTTCAGAATAGAATGAAACCACTTCGGACTTAGAAAAATTAGCAATTTTAATTGCAAACAAAGAGATGTAAAGAATTTTTAAGAGAAGGTTTCGTTAAGATTCCAGCAATGCTACCTCTGACACGCA